ATAACTACGAAAGTAACCATAATTTTTTTAGATCAAGTTTATTCCGAATTAGAAAACTGATACGCAAGTTACGTCAATATTGATCAAAAATGCATCACTATGTACATTTTCAGTCAAAACTAGTATTTATTCATCTCGTCTGACATAAGTAAATATTCATGCAGTATTTAGGCTGTGAGCGAGCACCCTTGAGTAACACAAACTAGACTGGTATATAATAATCAGTAAGCATGTATTCATTACAATACAACAATAGGTCTTGGTTGTGTTGTGTTCTCTGAAGCTTTAATCGTGAAGCTTTCATTGTCTTTCTAGACGACATCATCAGCACTAACTTCAGTATGAAGTGAGCCGTCAATATCTCTCTGTGAGTAATTTAATGGCTTGCTCTGACGATGTGGTTTGTGATTAGTTGTTTCCTTCGATTGTTGTGTCATTGACTGAATAGATTTTCTTGTTGGCTGTTCCTCTGCTTGACGTCTGACCTTTCTGTTGTTTATCATGTTTCTCATACCAGCGTAATACAACAATTAGCGCTCAGTACTACATACCAAATGAATAATCAGAGTAGTAATATTCATCTTGGTGACGATCGTCGTGGTGGGATCCACTACGTGCGCTCCATTGGGATATTATAATTATCAAAACAACAATAACTGATACCGGTTGCACAAGAAGTGGCTATCGTGCCCCAGTGGCTTAGTGTAAAACGCAGTAGCGTTTGGAGGGATGGGTACTGGGTTCGAGTCTCAGCGGAAACAACACTCATAGGGGTGTATCTATATATCCATCTGATCAGTGAGTACCAAATAGAACGAAACGCTTGTCCCGGATTCCACTGCTAATCCCCAAGATAAGTATACTATCGTGAATATCCGGCAGCATACGGGCATCCAAATAGGGACCAATCTGTCAACAGAAGTCGAGCACTGAGGCCCTGTATAACAACGGAAAATCGCAAGTGTCAAAAAACAGGGTAGTTATAGCTGATGATCATCTACTCGATCAATAGCTGAAGAGCAAGGTGTTGCAATAGTAATGTAATTTTTATCAAAACAAGAAGAACCACGTCCACAGGATGAAATAAGCTTATTTTGTTTCTACGCTTTTCTTCGGCTGCTGAAAGCCTAAAAATATGTAGAATCAACAAATTTAGAGCATACATTTTTGTTGGACAGGAGAAACATGGAAACCGGTTGAATTTTGCAAAAAAAGAATAGAAAAAAACAGTTACTGACAGTATCAATAGAGTAAAACGCATATTTATGAATAGTTGAGAAGGTTTAAGTTTTAACAATTAGTGGACGAGAATATATTTTGATTTTAACTACAGTCAGAAAGTAATGAAAGAGACAAATAAAGGAGTTAGATGAAATTGAAATACCCAGTTAAACGAATACATGGGGAAGGACCATCTTAATCGGTCAAAAGATTCTGACACAGGCAAGGTTAGATGATTGTAATTTCCTCCTCTACACAGAAGTCAGGTTGAATTCGCTTCGTTCCAGTCGATATAGCAAAGCAAAGTAGAATTGGATCGCTTTACTTACTGATTATTTTACAGACATCTGATGTATTCACGGCACGTCTTGAATCAACTGGATGTTGGGTGACTAAGACCCTCATGGTCAAATACTTTTTGGAATGTTCTGAGTAGATAACTGAAGACCTATTTTTAATCCTTTCAGTATACTTACTTTGACAAGCGAACGTGAATTTATAAATCCAGTTAGAGATGATGTGAGATGAATACTTATTCACTGCGCTATACATAGGAAGGAGTTTAACTGCTGAGTAGGTTTTAACAAGGACAACTAAACCCTTTGTTCACTTATTCTGCATTATCATCTGCCTTTAAAGGTGATTGGATGAAAGCTAGCTCCTCTCAACTGTGGTGAAAGTCTTCTTATCTCTGTTTCATCTTCCGGATATACTGATAAACTTTTTCAAACATTCATTATCAGACAGATGCTTTTCGAGAAGGGTCAACTTGGACTGTAATTTATCCTCAGAACATAAATTTCCTGCTCTATCAAAAAGTGATCTAACCAGCCTTCTTTTTTAGTTCAATGAGCAGAAGCTATTGTAAGTTAAATACTGCGCCGTCGAATTATCCTCTCGGATTTGCCATCACCTCTTATTCTGACGGGCTTATCGCAAAAGTTGAAGTAGTCATCGTGATCATATTCTATTGTAAAGTTGTCGTTATGATGAACTGGATTAAGAATTCAAAACGTTTTCAAGGTATGCTTCATACCTTCATAAATCACGAATGTATCATCAACTCAGCTCGTGTAATAGGTAGCATACTCAGCTGCTGACTTCATTCCATTCACTTCTAGATTTGCCATGAATGTATCGACAAGCGGACTTATCGTTCCCAGTTCATCAGTTTATCGGTAGAGTTGATTATTAATGAAAGACTGTACGTCTCTTGTGCCTACTTCTAGAAGCCTTTTCATATCTTTTTGGGGGAAAAGGCACAAATTACATTGTCTACGAGTAATCTAGGTTATTTTTTTTAATGAGACACTAATGGATAGAGAAGATAGATCAAATTTGACACCAAAATCTGTTGAAAATATCGCAAATATTCAACTTTCCCGCAAGTTTAGAGAATCCTACAATCCTCTCGAATAGGTTACAGTCTCTCAGCCGACCACCAGGCCACTTTGGAAAGTGTGAATTCACCACTGACAGTATCTGGTTTATGTTTTTTCGTTTGTTTTTGGTAGACCATACAGAAAAAGGCGAGTGTGATACTTTAAGTCGTATACCGTTGTCATTTGAATAGTTCAAAGAATTTTTTTCTTTAGACCCCTTAATTGTTCTGGTACTCATTTCTCTGCCGTCAAAGTGATGTCCATGGATCTATCTGGTATAAACCTAAACAGGTCATTGAATACTATGAGCCTGTTATTCAAGGAGTCCCTTTTGTCCATGGTTATGACACTAGATCCTTTGTCTGGCATTATAGTTAATAACTGTTAGTTATTTTTTGTTACATAAGGATTAAAGTACTTTTCCACATTCATCAAAGAAGAGGTTTGACTGTTCTGTTGAGAATTGATTTGCAATATTGAAGAGTTTACTTCAAATTAAATTTTTCTCTTGTTGTCGGTTGGCTTTAGTTCTGTCATCTGATGGTGTAGGCATTCAAACTGCACTTCTGTGCCAATTCCACTCACCTTTTTGATGAGAACATGAAGTTTTGATCAATAAAAAGTGCCCCAATCGAAAGGTTGCTCAATTTAGCAATTCTTAGGTTTCACATGGAAAGTTCAAGGAACTGTTCAGAGTCTTAATTCAGCTTTCCCTTTACCATAGCTTTCCACAGAGTGTCTTTACTCCTTGTAGATGTTTTCGATTGAAGTCACTGTAAAATGAGAAGATAAAGTTTTAGATATGTAGAATAACCGTAGATTATTTGCAGGGATCTATGCCTCATTTGTAATAAAGAGATTAATAAATGTTGCCCACTAAAAGGTACTGAATGTTTGCTCCTTGATACATATAACTGCTGATAATTGATTTTTCAGGACGAATCTTATGATAAACTTGTGTGCTTCGATATAAAGTTGAAATACAGTAGTATTTCGAAGCTATCTGAATAAAACTACAGTCTTTAAATGACAAGTCAACGATTAACATAATGGACAGAGTAACTGAAAAATTAAGTAGAAAAACTTTCATACACTGCGTAATGCCGTGATAGGAGATAGTTTTAGTGTAGACTTCACTTTTCTGACAAAATGTTCTCATCCGTTATCGTGTAAGATTCTAAAGATGTATGTAGTAAGTATAAATTTTCTGATACAAAGTCATCGAAATAGCATCACGCTATTCCTCGTTGATGCGAATAGTACACCTAACTTGATACTTAGCACTTAAAGTTCTATCATTTTGACTATCTGAGATGGCGGTGGTTCCACAGACTAGTATTAATACTGAGTGATGATTGGAGGTGAAATGAAAGTTTATACCAGCGACCGCAGGGTTTCCGGCCAAGCTGACCTATGGCTATCTTAGATAGTCAAAATGATAATCAATATGATGCTCTCCTTTCTCTCTAATTCAGTTACATTTGGATTGCCATGAGAAGTTCTGAATAGGCAGCCAGTGTGGACACGATCAAGCGGTAGTCAGGCGTTACGAATTCACATGGTAGTCGGGTAAAACCCATAGTGATTGAAGTGGAATAAAAATGTGATGATGAGTTGAACCTCGTCGTTCACTTGGTAGGGTATCGAGTCAGAAACTCAGTGTTCGCTGGTTCGACTCCGACCGTGGTACGAATTTTCATTTCACCTTCAATCATCACCCAGTATCAACTCATAGATCTATTTCAGCCACTCTGAAGAGGTCACAATGGTCACTTGGAAAGATAATGTCACTATCAAGATACCGTAGGACTAACTTCCGACGTTCACATGCAAACAGCAGTTCACCTATTTACTAAACCTGATTATCTTACAATAAGAAAACAAGTGTTCTCGCATTGGTTCTCATTTAGTTATGCTCAAATGCTAAGAATGATTAGTTAGTTCATAATTTTGCTGAAAATATCCTACTAAAAATGAGACATTAAATTAAAAATTTGATAAATTTTAGTTTCTGTGAACCAGTTAGTTAACCAATTAAGTATAGTGGTTCAAACTCCATTTTAACAACCGGTCAACACTCTAACAAATTTCATTTGGTGAATAACACTACTTTAGCAGACAGCTCAGTAGTTTACGACATTTTCTAAAATGAAAATTTGCCTACTCAAGGTGTACAACACGCAGTCGAAAGTACTTAGCAGCTTTGCTGAATGCAGGAAACTCTTCACACTATAGTATCGCTCTGCTCATTCATATGTACTGCTAACTTTAAATTAAGTTAACTTGATCACAAGTGAAGGATCCCATCATCAAGCTTTCTCACAAACTTTCTTACGTTGCTTCCAGCCGTAACCATTTAATATAATTTTAACGGTTGTTTTATGTCTCAACTTACAGGTGAATCGTTGGTACCAAATAGTGGCTAATATATCGTTGCAGTCATAAACATTGAAAATGCCAATATCGAATAAATTTCCCATTAACAATAACACTGAAACAGGTGTTGAATGCAGCTCAGAATTCCCAATAGACAAGGAAATATCCTCACCTTCTGTGTTATCAAGAACAACATCGTCAGAAGGAAAAGAGTCTTCATCATCATCACCTGTTGTAATTGTTGAAGAATCTTCTGCTAAAAACATATGCAATAGACCAAATCAGTTAAGCCTTGACATGTCTATTAATTTAGGCTGGGCTCAAAGTCCAAGTTGTATGAATTCTTATAGTAGAGAATTCTACTGTCTATTCGACTGTGCACTTGAGAATAATGAGGATAATATAAAACCAGTTTCCTGTGAAGGGAATTTTGTAAACCCACAGAATACTAAAATTACTACTGCGCCAATAAACATATCTAGTGCATATAATCTATTTTCACGTCTAATTAATTATGCTATTAATGGACAGTTACGTGTATGTCGTTTTCGTAGTATCTGTTGGCGTATATTCCTTGGTATTCTACCAAATGATGTAAACGATTGGACAAAACAATTAAAAACTGATAGAGAATATTTTGCTAAATTAAATTATGAAATTAATCCTGATCCACATAGTCATTTGAAGTCAAATGATCATCCTTTGTCATATCATACAGCAAGTTCATGGAATAAATATTTTTATGCATTACAAGTAAAACGTTTAATTGCTAAAGATGTTGATAGGACATTTCCAAATGTACAATATTTTCGTAATCAAAAAATACGTGAAATAATGATAAATTTATTATATATTTATACAGAACATCAAAATATATCTTATGAACAAGGTATGCATGAAATATTAGCTCCTTTATTATTTGTTCTGCATTGTGATCTGGTCGCTTTTGAACATGTTCAAGAAATGAATCTTATATCATCTGATTTATGGTATAACTTAAATTATGTAATGAATAGAGAATACTTTCAAGCTGATGCCTATACAATGTTTGCTAAAGTTATGAATACGATTAAACACTGGTATCCTCAAACAAAATTACTGAATACTAATAATAATAATAATAATGATAATAATAATGGGGGAAAACTTCGAAGACTTACATCTATTGAATTACCATTAAAAGCATCTATGCTTAAATCAGAAGAATATTTAAAACAATCAGAGGATCAGGCTGTTAATCAAGTAAATAAAACTACAAAGTTGCTTAATCAAATACAGAAAGATATTTCTAATGATATAAAGATCAAGGAATCAAATTATTTCACAATTTATTATGATCATGATCAACTAGAAGAAGATAGAGAACAAGACGATAAATATAACAGAACTGATATCAGAGATACGTATAAAAAGCAGAGACAATTAAATCAACAAGACTATTATCAATATATGAATCATGAAGAACAAGAATGGAATTCATTTTATTTTAATGAAACAGAACATACTACACACAATTGTTCTGGATACTGTTTTGTAGAACAAATACACAAACAATTATTATTAAAACATAATGCAAAATTATATAAACATTTGAAACACTTAGATATATCACCGAAACTTTTTGGTTTAAGATGGGTGCGTCTATTATTTGGACATGAATTTCCTTTACAAGATTTATTATACATTTGGGATTGTATATTTGCTATAAATAATAATTTGGCATTTGTACCTTATATCTATTTAAGCATGCTATTACGTTTAGCTCCAATGCTATTGAAATATGAGTTTTCTGAATGTTTAACATTATTAATGAATTATCCAGCTGGTATAGATGTAACTTATATAGTTTATCTAGCACTACATTTATATAAACCACATTTATATGATAAACCATCAGATGTATACAATCATCATGTACACAATAATGATAATACTACTGCTACTATGACTGATGATAATAATAATAATAATCAAGATATATATAGTAGTAATAATAATCCTGATATAAACAGTATTAATCACGATGACAGAAATAGTAATAGTGAGAAAATTGATAATATTAACAATAAAAATAAAGGATATGATATATTTAATTCAGTGTTATCACTTCCATCTTTAAGTGATAAAATAAAATCTAAAATAAAAAATACAATATCAGTTAATAGATCGATTAGTTATCATGAAGCAGGAAGTTCAAATGACTTTTTTAGTACATCTTCTAGTAAATTTAAACAAAATAAACGTAGTTCAATGGTGAATTTATTAACTTTAAAGAAATTAGAACATTTAAAGACACCTAATAATAATGTACAACTTTTAAATAAAAATGAAAATATTTTTAATCATCAGAAAACAAATATAAGTTGTAGTTCAGTCAATTTAAGTAATGCTCATAATGAAGAGAAATTCAATAAAAACTATACAGATTTATATGTATCAGTACCACAGTTGAATAATAATAATAATACTTCCAGTTCAAGTAATACTAATAACAATTTCTCTATATTCGATACAATATCATTATCAAATAGTATAGACTATGGAAATAAGTTATTTACTAATCATTATGAAACCGAATCAATAAATGATTGTGAATATTATGATATGAAAGTAAATAATCATTCATCAACATCGACAACAGCACATACATCTTTATCATCATTATCACTTAATCAAATTTCAATCATGATGAAAAACTCTGAGAATGATAATAGTATAAACTCATCTATTATGGAAGAGACAATACAACCAAATCTAATGGATAATTTTTCTAAAAATGCAACGAATTCATCTTCATCTATGAATATTCAAGATAAGAATAAGAGGCTACATGAAAAGACTTATTCACTTATTAGTAATTGTATAAAATCATTGAGTTTATGTTCTACACACATGGAGATATACTTAAATAATTATGTTTCTCAATGTCTAAATAAGCATCATCATGATAAGTATAATGGTCAAGATATCTCTTCTTTTCCTTCGTTATCCCCATCATCATCTTTCCAGTTTACACCTGGTTACTATACTTCATATCTTCCCAATCAAAATTCCAACTGTTCATCATATTATTTACAAACATTTTTACCATTATCAATATCTTCTTATTCAGTACATTTGTATGATTATGCACTATTTACAAATTTTGATCATTTAAAATATGTACAAAATGAAATTAAAATAACATTAGATAATTTGATCAAATTTTCATATGATCATATGGATATACCTGAGGAGTTAAGACATCATAAAGTGAATGATGAGAGTAAACACATAGATAATAATGTTGAACAGTCATCTTTACCGCTGAATTCATTTTATTTCACATCACATTAATATCATCATCAATTTACTCATCAAAATCAAGGATATTCAAAGCACACATATCTCTCATAGTCAAAATGATATTCGTTTATTTAACACAGAAATAAAATCATCAGTGTCCTTGACAAATTTAAATTATGCATACAACAACTAATAATATAAAAGAAATAGAAAATTAGAAACTTATTGTAACATTGAATGAAGAAGTGTAAATTGATTCTGTTGTCTTTTACTGGGAAAAGATAAAACCCATTGCCCAAATCACTACATATCACAACTACCTCCATCACATGAATTTTTTAAGTCTTTTTTTTATATATCTTATTGTTACATTCATATGAGGGTAGCTATTTTTGCTTCTTTTTTTTCTATTTTGAAGACGACTGTTTGATACTATTTTTCATTACTCCACTTATTATCGCATAATTACTATACAGATTAATTTTCTTGAATTTATTACAGTTTATGCGTTCATTTATCCTGACGTCCATGTACATTAATTAATGATGTCAGCTATGTATTTATTTAGAATGCAATGTATGTATGTTTGTTTGTTTACTTTACACACACACACACAACATATGGACTGTATATTTTATGAGTGACCACCCTAACAACTGTTGAAATGACAAATTAGATTTATTTATTTATTATATCTGCCGGAAAGATAATTTTCATATGAAATAAAGAAATCCAGATGGTTGCTTCAGTTGATTAAGTAGCCTTTAAAGTCAACTTACTTTATCCTCTCCACAAATATTCTTATCATATAACGAACCAGCGACCACCGAGTTTCTGGCTGGATACTCTACCAAGTGAACGACGAGGTTCAACTCATCATCACATTTTTATTCCACTTCAATCACCATGGGTTTTACCCGACTACCATGTGAATTCGTAACGCCTTACTACCGCTTGATCGTATCCACACTGGCTGCCTATTCAGGACTTCTCATGGCAATCCAAATGTAACTGAATTAGAGAGGAAGGAGAGCATCATATTGATTATCATTTTGACCATCTGAGATAGCCGTACTTCGATAGACTAGTATTGATACTAGGTGATGATTGGAGGTGAAATGAAAATCAAGTCGTCAGTTGGACCTCGCAGCTCAGTTGGTAGCGCATCGGGCCAGAAACTTGGTTGTCGTTGGTCTAAATTCTCATTTCACCTTCAACCATCACTCAGTATCAATACTCGTCTGCCAAACCACGGCTATGTCAGATAGTCAAAATGATGTCATAGAACGATAAAAACAGTCTGATAACATCAGTTTTGTATAACTATAGTTAGTGTTTTTGTGTATTTGTATGAAAACAATTTAGCTCATTTATAAATACATAAGTTGCTGAGGGAAATTATAAATAAATCAATTTATTTGCAACAATAAAACATTGAAATTGTTAAAAATTTATGATGAAAACAACAGTGAAAAACCAAGCATTATGAAGAATCTTAAGTCTCACTTGACGTTTGACTTTTAATTGTGTTTATCATAAACATGCGCTTTCAGTACTAAGTAGACTCATCTTCGATTCACGTACAAACATACCATTCCACTCCTAAAGCAAAAAACACAAACTGCATATCCATCAAGCAAATCTAAGAATATCACATGAGCACGTCATCGAATGGCGGTCACGCTATTTCGTAAACTGTTAGAAGCAGGAAATATGAATAATTGGATTCCGACTCACTGGCTGAATGGTTACGGGCTGGCCTCACGACCCTGAGGTCTTAGGTTCAATCCCCGGTGGGTCATGGGTGCTTACTGCTGAGAATTCCCATAATAGGAGGAAATAGCTGAACAGTCTTCCCACGTTACCATTGTTTTGCCAACTTATGTCAGTTCATGCTTAATACCAACTTGAAATCAACGAATAAATCCTCATAAACCTCCAAATTGAAAGGACAAGTATGATAGCGGGAGGATTTTTATAAATATTTTATCCCAGCCAAGATTGACGGACAGCAGTTAAGTAATTTCGTATGCTTCAAAGAAGTGGTGACACATATGAATACTTATTATTATTGAATAACTGCAATAAATGAGCTTGTGAATACCGTGTAAGTACTTAATATTTTGAGCATAAGAGTAAATACAAGGAAGGATTTTTGACGAGGCTTGCAATCATAGTTAAAAGTTTCAGAAAGTATCGTGATTTCACCGCTTATATTCCTTGCATCTAGTAAATGCATGGATTACATCAAGAACTTTCCTAATTGACGAGATAGGACTGCCAAAATGGAGCAGATCAACTGCAAATTCGCATACAGGTCACACCAAAAGGTGCATTATTGTTTGACAATGTCAGTTTTTGAAGCATTTTATCGATACGATACGGATGTTACGAACTCAGATACGTTGCGATGATCCTTGGTGATATCCTCGTAACTGACGCCAAATACATAGGGTGAGGTAAACTTTTCAGATCAACATTGTCAACTGATTTCTAATCATATTAGCAGGTTGTTCACTGGTCTACATAATTCACAGTGAATTTAGGGAATTCACAAATATCGCTATTATAGACAACAAAGCGGTTACAAGATCTGATGATTTTCATGAAATTCATAAAAACGGTTTCATTGGTCAACTGAAAGTTGATTATAAGACAAAGACACCAACATTACGATTACCTTACTCAGTTTCACTTACGAAAATTCCAAAATTTCACATGAGGCTGGAATAATCTGCTGTAAGTAACGTTTTAATCTCATTAAATACGTAAACTTTAGATGACTATCATGAATAATTTTGATTGGTAATAAAAGAGCATTAGAAAATGTTACTTGTAGATTCTTCAAGGCTGAAAATAATTCACCGAGGTCATTTCAACAAATTTTTTATCAACACTCATTCTTCCGATTTGTTTATTTGATATAAAGCGCACAGTGATACAGATATTTATTGATTACGTTTCGAGCATAAATTATTGCTCATAATCATATCAATGTAATCACACTTCTTTCGACATCTGATTTTATAGTCCTGTCACCTGATCTCTCTTTGTTTTTTTGTTTTTTGATTGGTAGTAAAGTTTTCCATATCTCTGGTATAGGTGTTGCGTCATTCCTATTACATGTGTGTGTGGATTCGATGAACAAAGATTCAGTAATTAATCTCTCTCTCCACCTAGCTATATTAGACTTAAGTACAGTGGTTTTGTCCCATCCTATTGTGTGGTTGTGTGTTAATGAATGTAATGCAATGGCTGAGTGTTTTTCTAGGTTATTGATCTTATTGGGGTCTGCCGTTCTATGTTTAGCTAAATTCCTATGTTCTGTTAATCTAACTGACCCCGACCGGCTAGTTTGACCTATGTATTTGACTTCACAGTCATTACATGGAATTTGGTAGATTATATTATTTTGCTTAATTGGTTCTATCGGATCTTTTAGCCGACAAAGCTTACCTCTAAGTGAGTTTGTTGGTTTAAATGCCACCCTAATTCCAACCTTGTTGAGAATCCTACGTATGGTTTCTGATGTTCCTTCCTTGTATGGTATCACAATAGAGGTGTTGATTTCCTTTCTACTTATGTTGTCACTATTATTTGTATTTGTATTAGTGTTATTATTTTGCTTCTTATGCGTCCGTGTGAATTTCTTAATAAAATGATGGGGATAATTATTATTATTAACGCTTCTTTTATGTGTTTCAATTCCTTATTTAAGTCCTTACAATGACTAGTGAGTTTCTCAGCTCTGTTATTTAGACATTTGACTAAACCCGCTTTAACTGACACTGGATGAGATGACTTGAAGTCTAGATACTGTTAGAATGTGTTGGTTTTCTGTAGACGGTAGTATCTAAACCACCATCTATCCTTCGTTTTATTCTGCAATCCAACATAGGTAATTCTCCTTGTTCATTTTCTACTTCGTAGTGAATTGGATTGCGTTAACTACTGAGTTTATGTGTGTCAAGAAACTGTCGATATGTTCCGATTTCAACACTGTAAATGTGTCATCTACATATCGCCACCATATCTTAGGTGTCGGATTATATGTTCGTAAAGCCATATCTTCCCAACTATCCATAAATATATCTGCTACTATAGGGGATATTGGTGATCCCATTGCTACTCCTTCTGTTTGTCTATATCTTTCCCTGAAACTTGAAGACTGTCGAGGTTAAGCATAACTGCACTCCTAACATGATTTCACCAACCGATGCCTTGGTTCTTTGAGTAAGTTGTGAGTCAGTATCTAGTTGATTTCTGACTGCCTCCAGTGCCATATTGATTGGTATTTTAGTATAAAGACTTGTTACGTCAAAACTAACCATTTTTTCACCTCTTCTATGTGCAGGTCATTAAGTTTTTGTTTCAACTCGTAAGAATTTACTAGTCTAGAGTTGGAACGGTCTCTAACAGGACGTAATACTGATGCTAAATACTTTGATATCTCATATGTTGGTGTGTTGGAAGTCAACTATCGGCCTAATGGGATAACCTGCTTTATGAACCTTAATATACCGTAAATTCTGCTAGGATTATTAGTTTTTGGCATTAAAGTAAACCGTTAGTTTTGACGTAACAAGTTTTATACTAAAATACCAATCAATATGGCACTGGAGGCAGTCAGAAATCAACTAGATACTGACTCACAATTACTCAAGAACCAAGGCATCGGTTGGTGAAATCATGTTAGGAGTGCAGTTATGCTTAACCTCGACAGTCTTCAAGTTTCAGGGAAAGATTATAGACAAACAGAAGGAGTAGCAATGGGATCACCAATATCCCCTATAGTAGCAGATATATTTATGGATAGTTGGGAAGATATGGCTTTACGAACATATAATCCGACACCTAAGATATGGTGGCGATATGTAGATGACACATTTACAGTGTTGAAATCGGAACATATCGACAGTTTCTTGACACACATAAACTCAGTAGTTAACGCAATCCAATTCACTACGAAGTAGAAAATGAACAAGGAGAATTACCTATGTTGGATTGCAGAATAAAACGAAGGATAGATGGTGGTTTAGATCTACCGTCTACAGAAAACCAACACATTCTAACAGTATCTAGACTTCAAGTCATCTCATCCAGTGTCAGTTAAAGCGGGTTTAGTCAAATGTCTAAATAACAGAGCTGAGAAACTCACTAGTCATTGTAAGGACTTAAAAAAGGAATTGAAACACATAAAAGAAGCGTTAATAATAATAATTATCCCATATTTTATTAAGAAATTCACACACACATAAGAAGCAAAATAAAACACTAATACAATACAAATAATAGTGACAACATAAGTAGAAAGGAAATCACACCTCTATTGTGATACCATACAAGGAAGGAACATCAGAAACCATACGTAGGATTCTCAACAAGGTTGGAATTAGGGTGGCATTTAAACCAACAAACTCACTTAGAGGTAAGCTTTGTCGGCTAAAAGATCCGATAGAACCAATTAAGCAAAATAATATAATCTACCAAATTCCATGTAATGACTGTGAAGTCAAATACATAGGTCAAACTAGCCGGTCGGGGTCAGTTAGATTAACAGAACATAGGAATTTAGCTAAACATAGAACGGCAGACCCCAATAAGATCAATAACCTAGAAAAACACTCGGCCATTGCATTACATTCATTAACACACAACCACACAATAGGATGGGACAAAACCTCATTTCCTACATTTGGGTATTCGAATAACCAAATGATAACTAATATTTATTAACAAGTAAACATTACTCATAAGAATTGTAACAGTTTAGTGACCAAAATGGACTGACTTTAATGGCCACCCTACCAACGACTTAAGTAACCAATTATCTTTCTCTATTTGGCTAGAAATGCTTATATATATAAAATAAAGAAGCATGATTGGTTGTTTCAGTTGTTGCCAATGTGACCTTTAGAGTCACCCCCAAAATGTATTGCATTAACAACAGCTTTTGGTGTTTACTTAGGTTTCAACAGTTATAAAATGTCAAGCTTCATTTGATTAACGTATTTGTGGGGAAGAGATGTTTCAGTTTGTATTGCTGATACATATATTGAGAAATGCTTTGCTAGGTAAGCATTATGCTTCATTATTTGGCAGTCCCGTTGTTTCTATGCTGTGTGGATGGATTTCATCCCTGCTTAACCCTCTAAATGAAGTACAATTTATAATAGCACATAGTATCATAATCCCATAGCGTTGACGAAATGGGAATAAAGTTTCTTAAGCAAAATATTCTAAATAGCCTAGATTACATTGGATCATACTTTGGTAATAATTTAAAAAAAACTCGACACTCAACT